TTGCAAATGAAACTGGAAAACAAGCACTTTTTTCTTCTTTTTTAAATCTCATCCTGCCACTTTTACTTTACACTTTAGGTTGTTGGTGTCCAAAATCCAATTTTCTTTTTCTTTTCTTTCTTTCTTTGAGATGGAGTCTCGCTCTGTCTCCAGGCTGGAGTGCCAGTGCACAAATCTCGGCTCACTGCAACCTCTGCCTCCCAGGTTCAAGTGATTCTCCTTTCCTCAGCCTCCCCAGTAGCTGGGACTACGGCACCCGCCCACCATGCCCAGCTAATTTTGTATTTTTTAGCGAAAGATAGGGTTTCACCATGTTGGCCAGCGATGGTCTCGATCTCTTGACCCTGTGATCCACCCGTCCTTGGCCCTTCCCAAAGTGCTGGGATTACAAGACATGAGCCGCCGCGCCCAGCCAATCAATTTCCCATTTATTTCCCTGAAACTTATTCTCTGATACTTTAGGCTTCCTGTAAAACAGCAAAGGTGCCCTTTATAGGCACAAAGGGAAACCGCGCAAAGTCTACCACAACTGATCCTCCATCCCACACTTTTACTCTCAGTGAGATTCAGAACAGAAACCTACTCACAGCCAAGGCCTTTTCCCAGACTCATAGGTTATCCACCATAAGAAGTATCTGCGATCCTGACACCATAAGCAATAAACACATTAGCCAGACGACTCAACACAATAACTTACATTCTTTGTGTGTCTTAAGACGAGCCAGATATCACTTCGACGTTGTACACTGGAAGTCCCCTCATATATGAAAGCCCTGCACCGTAAGTAGAACGCTGAGGTACAGTACTCAGTGATACCGTTCGGAAGTGGCAAACCTGAGTTAGCCTCTTGGGTGTAAGCCCATAAAGATGAACCGATCTGTATATATACCGAAATTATGCTGCCCACAGAATCCATTCGTATTCTCCCCTAGTCTGAGACAGCTCCTCGAAGACAAATGGCAAGTCATTCTTGAACAGAGCTTCTGTTACTTTTGTCTTCTTGTAATGTCATGTTCACTGTGTATCTGAGACATCATCTGATTATCTCTTTTCCTGGCAGCATTCCCCAGATCATCATTATCACTTCTCTCTATCCAAAGACTTCTATGAACAGACAAATATATACAATCGACATTTACCCTAAACTAAGTCATTATGCCAAAGAAATACCTCCAAACAAGGAAAAAACTCCTTAGATACACCATCTCTACAAGAGAGTGCCGCCCAGGAGAATACATCAAGCAACAGATCTTAAACAGCTCTACACCTCCGCATAAGCGCGCAGGGGCTCGCCAATTACCCGATCGACTTACTGGAGGCGAAGAGCATAATGAAGGGAGAACACATCCCGAGTCAATGATGACACACGGGAAAGAGAGGAAGATCCTCCAGAACTGAAACTGGGAAAGAGCTTTCTGAGGAACAGAGCGAGCTGTTGAGCAGTGAGCTCGACGATTAATGTCATCCACTGACATCCTGCGCCAGGCTGACTGCAATGCTCAGTAGCGATGCGATCTAGACATCTCCTAAAACAAAAACAAACATCAATGATGTTTGTCAGCATAACAAGATATAACTTGACAGGTGATAAAGAAACATCTTAGACAGTTAGCCTTCGCGAATAATAAACCAATCTTCATATATTTTTGAGTATTGGAAAACACCAAGAACTTGTGAATATCACACTCGGTTGGTCTTGTTCAGATACATACATGACTCTATATTTGTAAAAAAAGTAACCGACCCCATATAGCCAAAGCATAGATAGTATCTCCGATAATCTAAACATTAAAATGAGAAGCTTCTCTTCCGCAGAGATCATATCATCGTTCTTTGAGTGAATCTGACTTGGACCCACAGCTCGATTGGAGGTGTTCCCTCGGTGGACACGTAGATTGAGATCCACTGGGGGCCAAACGACTTTCGACAAGCTTCTCGCTCCTCAAAGGCACCTCTCCTCGCTCTGTAAAAGAGAGTGAACTATGCTTTTCTTCTGAATATTTTAGCAACAGCTCGATCCCAAGATTCTGAGTGTTTAAAAACCAGATCGGCCCCAACTTACACACATACCCCTCGGTCGGGGCGGTTGCTCCTCCTTTGCCATGTGATCTGCGCACGCTCCAGCTCCGTGGTTTTTCCACCTGTCTTACACATATATGAGTGAAAGCTATCCAAACTCAAAGCCCGGTCAATCAGAGCAATACCTATCCACGTGCCAATGGCGCTTCTATTATGAAACAGCCTTACAGAACCATACGTCCAATGAACTCTCTCGGTAGATATACACGAAATATCACTTGATATATCACGGATAAAAGTCAGACTTATACCGCCGACTTTAGATTTAGTATAAGATAATAGGCTAATATAGATATAGAGTACAATGCAAAATGGACTGAGACATACTAGTATGTCATCGAATTGATACCATCCGTTCTTTTACAAAAAAAACAAAAAAAAAAAAACAGTCTCAATCTGTCACCCAGGCTGGAGTACAGTGGCACAATCATAGTTCATTGCAGCCTCAAACTTCTGGGCTCAAGTGATCCTCTTGCCTCTGCCTCCTG